GGGCTAAGGAAGCCTCAGAGAACCAAAGCAGTATTGTGTGTTTCATCATTGCTGTACAGCACCCGATTGACTCATCCCTTCCTTGTTACCCTTCTGTGAGGGGATGTTCTATTATCTACAGATGGGTTTTGGGTCTCTGCTCAGAACCCTCATTCTCAACAATATGTTGTTGTTGTTTGTTTTGGGTCTTCTGGTGCCTGTTACCTGATTCTGGTGACAACTCATGATCGCACAGGCTGGTGTGCATCTTTCATGTGGACTTGTTGCTTCTCTGCTAGATGGCCACTTGTTTAACTTCAAGCCTTTAAGACCCCAGACACTGTATCTTTTGATAGTTGGGTACCATCAGCATCCTTGACCACATTTGTTTGTGCACCCGCTTTGTCTTCAGCTATTGTGTTGGAAGGGTAAGGATCACAGAATGCCAGGTTGTTAGAACAAGGAGTCCTTGCATTGAGGAAGGACTTGAGCAGAGGCCCAAATTCCATCCACTTCCTCAATGTATTGCCATATAAACATATGTAAATAGGCCAATACCTCTATTTTTATGAATTAATATATTTACATAAATGTACACCTATGTTTATTCCTCTATCAATAGTTTTGCTTCCTAGACCTTTCTTCTGTTTCCTTTCCCTTTACCCTGCCCCACCATCATGCTTGCCCTTCTGCCTCTTAGTAATTTCTCTCAGCTAGATTGCTATTGTTTCTACACCACCAGAATCTCTATGTCCTCCTCATTGTTGCTTTTAATTCCCTAGTTGTTCCCCTGTCTATGGCCAAGTTTGCTCACCGCTCCTTTCCCCCATCTCCTCCTCCCCCCAGGCCCCTCCAGAGCTGCCAGGTCATTGCTTTCTCCTCAGGCTTGCTTCCCATGACTATCTTATATTGGTAGGCAAAACAATAACAGAGACAAAACAAAAGATTGAGTAAGAGAAAAATGAGCAAAAGAGAAATAAGCGAAAAAGCATACATAATTCCACGTCTGTCCGTTGACCTTTCTGACTATCTCCCCACTGGTCCTGGGGGTCCGGGAACTGCCTCTCCTAGCCTGAAGTCTTTTGGGGGGCTTCTCAGAAGTTTTTTGCCTTGGCTTTGCTCCTGTTCCTGATCTATGTTCCCTTCTTGGTTTGCCCCATTGTGGGGGTGTTCAGACCAGACTCACTTCCCACCATGTGTCCCCAATATTGGGGAAAGGGGCTGGCCTGCCACACCCATACAGAAGCAAACCAAAAAGGAAAAAGAGAGAGTGGGGTACTAGACCCCATACTGGCATACCATGCCTTGAGGATGATGGCTTTGGGGGAAGCTGTAGGGCCTGCGGGAGAAGGACTGTAGGGCCTGCAGCTCCTTTACAGGAGTAGTAATCCTTATCTTTCTACTGGGGAGCGTCTGTTTCGAATTGCTGACCTTGTGGTTAGCAGCCCACCAACAAGCCCACCAGTAAGCCTATCAACAGATAGAGGAGAGAGCAATTTAATTCCTATATCCTTTCCAGAGATCTGGAGTTTTTCAAAGCTGAAAATGAAACAAAGCCACTGCACCAAACTGCCCTACACTTATCATCTGTGAAAATACTGACTCAAATGAATGACCTTTAGAATCACATTGCCACCAAATGAACATGTAGGATAGAGATAGTATCAAGGTGTCTTTGACCATAACCAGTAAGTCTATGATTAAACAAATTACTAAAAGCCCACCCATTTTGTGATATTTCTATCACTGTAACACTAAGAAAGTTAGATACATGCATTCAGGAATATAATAATATACTAATATTAGTATAAGATGCCCTAGTGGCACAGTGGTTAAGCACTTGCCTTCCATCTGAAAGATCAACAGTTAAAATCCACAACCCCTCTCTAGGAGACAGTCTACTGCTATAAAGACTATAGTATTCCCCTAATAAAATGATTATTTAATTTAAAAAAAGACTATAGTATTGAAAAACCTAAGAGCAGTTCAACTTTTTCCTGCTGGGATGATGTTAGTCAGAATTGAGTTGACAACAATGAATTGTTAAAGGAGATTAAGAAAATCAGAGTATTTATAAAGGATACTCAGAGGGACTGTGAATTCTCATACAGGTTTAAGAAAATAAATTATTTTAATTTAAAATGGTATAATAAATATAATACATTGAAAAGTGAAAAGCATCTACAAAAACATAAAATATTGGTCCTAGCACCTCTGAAGGCTTTTTATTTCTAGATGTATTGGTAATATTAAAGCTGAAATAAAAGTGAAACCAAAATTTCTTAGACATTATGATGTAGAAGATTAAGTCGTTTTCTTTACTTGCTTTCTTTATGTTATACCAAATATCTCATAACTGCTTAGTTCAGAAAACCGATCAAAACCAAATAATTATCTGCTTGGTTAAATAGTAGATTTCAAGTTATTAACTAGTCTTTATCTATCTACATTTATGTTAGAAATTCTTCTCACTGTAAAACCTTGAGAAACTAATTTTGTAGCCTTAACAAAGTACTATTTTTACATCTGTTTTGGTGACATGTAGTACACTATATAAGTAAGAAATTTCCTGATACTTGTTTACATTTTATTCATTCATGTTAACAATGTTTCCTTGTAAAATATTATTTTGAATCACGCTCATATATTGTAATAAAACATCCTTATAATAAAAGATCCTTTTAATGTACTTAATACTTTTGAGTCGAACTATTTCCTGGAAATAACCTTTCCAATTCTTTTACTCACCTGGGTGAATTCTGTTTAATGCTCATTGTCAATGAGTTAACACGTTGATTTTTAATAATATCAGCATAAAAACAATAGTTATGGAAAAAAATATCAATAGGATGGAAGTAAGCTTTGTTTTTTAAATGGTAAGAAACCTATGGTTATCATATTATTTTTACCCATTTACAGGTTATTTTCTAGTAATTACCAAGTTACTAGAAATCATACTAGTCTTACATTTAATAAGCCATCCATTTCCCATTTATAGAAATACATGAGCTAGAGAAATAAATTAAATGACATCACGAGGAGACAGCCAATGAAATCCAGAATATTCTAGAACAGTCTGTTCTAGAATAAATTGAAATAACACTGAAATAAAATTATGGAACTTAATTGAATTCTAATCTCAAAAGTAATTAAGATGTTCTTTATAACAAATGCTTAAGAACTTAAGTGCATTTGAAAAGGTATTTAAGAGAGAATGTGAATTCTTATAAAACTTGGAGAAATATGGGGAAAGATAATGTAAGGACAATTTATGAATTTTCATTTTGAAATTTCTTAGGTGTGGTAGTAGCATCATGATTAAGTGGGGAGATAAATGTAGGAGATACCTGCAAATTATTTTTAAGTGGGTCAGGAAAAACAAAACAGTGTGTGTGTGTGTGTATAGGAGAGAATGCATGAAAGCGAAAGTAGGGTGAAATACAAACAATTGTTTACTATGGATGGAGGGTATACTTGCGTTCATTGTAAAATTCTTTTAACATTTTATATTAAAGTTGTCTTTTAACACACAGACACACACACAGACACAAACACCCCAGAGTGTTCAGATACTTAACATCTTCGACATATGTACTTTGTTTGAAACCTGATTGAACAAATCAACTCAAAAAAAGGCATTTTTAAAAGATAACTGGGGAAATTTGAATATTGAATGATTGTCTTCTTATAACCTTCTTTACTTTGAAAGTTGTGACAATTGAAGTTATGTAAAAATTTATCTTACCTGTTATAAAGGAAAGGAAAATATAGACACCGTCACATGACATTATCCAACTGACATTGACGTTTTTATGCAACTGAAACTCATCAAAACTCAAGGAAATATGAAGAAATAACGTACATATAAGAGAGTAGCTGAGAGCTTTCTCACCGGCCTTATGTCCTTTTCTTGTGTCTCTAGACTTTCCCTTTGGGCTTGAGTGGAGGATACCCTAACCCCCACTGAGATAAGAGGATATCTGACTAAAATTTGGAAGCTATTTAGGAAAAGCCTTTTTTACCCCCTTCATACTGAGGTCACTACTTTTCCATTTTCTGAAATAGTTTTCCAATTTCAAAAAAATCCTTTTATTCTATGAGACAATTTGTCCCTTGTGGTTATGAATGTAATGACTAATCCTTTGCAGATAAGATTTGGGTACTTTGAGACAGTTTTTTAAAACATGGAGTCTGGAGGTAAAGATTGAGATTTTCTTATTTAGTAAAAAAATATACACTAGGAACGGACACAGGGTGGCGCTGCAGCCTTACAAGTAGAAGCCGCAAGCTGCCACTCCTTCAGTCAGACATTATCTGCGAGAGACCAGCAGGAAGACGAGGCTTTCTAAGGCGGTCGCTCGGGGAAATCGGGGTTCTAGGATTGTCCACGTATCCCAGTATCTGCGAAATTCCTGGGAGACGGTTATAAAGGTTAATACGAATCTGTGCTGGATCAAGTTTGCTGGGAGACCAGAGGCGATGGAGGCGGGAAAGGAGAAGGAAGGCGTTCAGACACAAAGGCAAGTCCTGCTATTCTTTGTTTTGCTGGGCATTGCTCAGGCTGATTTCGAACCTAGGCACTATTCCGTGGCCGAGGAAATGGAGAGCGGCTCTTTTGTAGTTAACTTGTTAAAAGACTTGGGGCTGGAGATTGGTGAACTAGCTGCGCGGGGCCCCCGGGTCATTTCCAAAGGGAAAAAATTGAACTTACAGGTCGATAGGCAAACCGGAGATATGTTGTTAAATGAGAAAATGGACCGGGAGGAACTGTGTGGTCACACGGAACCGTGTGTACTACCCTTCCAGGTGTTATTGGAAAACCCTTTACAGATTTTTCAGGCCGAGCTACAGATTAGAGATATAAATGACAATTGTCCAGTTTTTCTAGACAAGGAAATAATTTTGAAAATTTCCGAAAGTATCCCTCCCGGAACAACTTTCCTAATAGAACGTGCCCAGGACTTAGATGTAGGAAGCAACGGTCTACAAAACTACACAATTAGCCCCAATTTCCACTTCCATCTTAAATTACAAGATAGTCCAGATGGTTTATTGCCACAGCTGGTGCTGGACAAAGCGCTAGATCGCGAAGAACAGCCTGAGATCAGGTTAACACTCACTGCCCTGGATGGGGGGACTCCGCCCAAGTCTGGCTCCGCCCAGGTCCGCATTGAAGTCCTGGACGTCAACGACCACGCCCCTGAGTTTGCAAAGCTGCTCTACGAAGTACAGGTTCCTGAGAATAGCCCCATTGGATTCCTGGTTGCCATCGTCTCTGCTAATGATGTAGACATCGGAACTAATGGACAATTATCCTACACGCTTTTCCAGGCCTCTGAAAACATTCGCAAAACGTTTCGAATAAATGCAGAATCTGGAGAACTTCTTTTAACGCAGAAACTGGATTTCGAAGCCGTTCAGACATACACAGTAAATATTCAGGCGACAGATGGTGGGGGGCTTTCTGGAAGTTGTGTGGTGTTTGTTCAAGTGATGGATTTGAACGACAACCCTCCAGAACTGACCATGTCAACACTTCTGAGCCATATCCCAGAAAATCTGCAGGATATTGTAGTTGCTGTATTCAGTGTTTCAGATCCTGACTCCGGAGACAACGGAAGGATGGTTTGCTTCATCCAAGACGATCTTCCTTTCTTCCTGAAGCGCTCTGTTGAGAATTTCTACACTCTGGTGTCAAAAGAAGCACTGGACCGAGAGGAGAGAGCAGAGTACAACATCACCATCACCGTCACCGACTTGGGGTCCCCCAGGCTGAAAACCGAGCACACCATCAGGGTGCTGGTCTCCGACGTCAATGACAACGCACCCACCTTCACCCAAACCTCCTACACACTGTTCGTCCGCGAGAACAACAGCCCCGGCCTGCACCTGGGCACAGTCAGCGCCACCGACAGAGACGCGGGCACCAACGCCCAAGTCACCTACTCCCTGCTGCCGCCCCGCGACCCGCACCTGGCGCTCGCCTCGCTGGTGTCCATCCACGCGGACCGCGGGCACCTGTTCGCGCTGCGGGCGCTGGACTTCGAGGCCCTGCGCGCCTTCGAGGTCCGCGTGGGCGCGGCGGACGCGGGCTCCCCGGCGCTGAGCAGCGAGGCGCTGGTGCGCGTGGAGGTGCTGGACGACAACGACCACGCGCCCCTGGTGCTGTACCCGCCGC